AACTCTCACTGGCATGAATGGGAGCTCTACTTCACATTGGTGACAGTGTGCACCCTTAGAGTTAGTATGAGTAAAATATGTATTATTTTCTTTTAAGTGAAAGTGATCTATAATTAGGACCTGATCCTGCAAAGTATCTAGTGAAGTCAGTGGGAGTTTGAGAATGATTAGAACCTCACAGCAGACACTTGCATGATCAGGCTATTAATAATTACAGAATTGTTCCTTGGAGAAATATGTGAGAAGCTGAACTGGCTAGTGGTTAAAACAAATTATGGTCAACTCTTACTATAAGAATGGAGCTTCCATATAATAGGATATTACTGGGATCATGAATGAGTTTATGTTTTACTTTGAACACCCTACAAAAAGTAGACACAGTTCTAAACAGCAAAGCTCAAAATTTCCCTGGAGTTCAGGGACGTTTTTGATTATGCCCATCTCTGCTATAAACATTTTTTTAAAATTCAAACAGACAGCATTAAAGGGATAGGAACAGAGAGACCTTTTCCCAGTTCCAAATCAACCATCTCACCAAATGAGTATCCTTCCCGACCAGAATCCTAGATTTAGTCTAGAGAGATCACTGTCTATTGCAAGTAACCCGCAGCCCCCTTTCTGTATTCAAATTGTATTCAAGATTCACTCTCTGTATTGTTTAATGAGAGTTATAAATCTCACAAGAGCATATATCCTTAAAGATTTCAGTGAATGAGAGCTGGCTCAGTGAAAAATCTGCTTCTGTTCCTTTCATTTTTGTTGCTTACTTAAAAAACCAACAAGTACACTGACATCTAGCTGGAAAATTGCTGGGTATTCAGAGAATCTCAGAGACCAAATTATCTAACTCTTCTTTCTGCACCTTTAACAATCAGTTTTTGATGCACTAGCCTAGGCATCATGTTTATCAGAATATATTATCAGAACAATATGATTCCAAACTTCATAAAAACCTGGTTATATGTTGTCATTGAATTCTGCAGTCAAGAGCATTTAAAAATGTTTGAAGTTGTTCCAATGTCTGTAACCACAATAAGGATTTACAATGTGCAGGAACCTGTTTCTTCTGCTTCTTGTAGTTTATGAGGCAACTGAAGAGCAGAACTTTGTACTGAGAAGTAGTAAAATGAGGGTAAAGTGCTATTGCCACTCTAACAAACCATATTCATAGTCTAAAATATTCCAGCAACAAAATGGTATTTTAATCTCAGGGATTACTGATGGATTTAATGACTATGGATGAAATTTCACTGGTGCATACTTTCTCCTATGTAGATAATTCTGTCAAGTATCAACCTCGTTACTTTCCTCCATCATACAAACATGTTTCAGTATTATTGAGTTATTTTTCCTTGATCCATTTTGCTTCTATTTCAGTAATTTTTCATATTCTCAAAAGTCTAATATAACATTTCCAATCTTTCAAATTAAAAACGTACTTTTTCTGCTGTCATAAAAAATGAATCGTACTATGTCATCTCCATGTATGCAACTTTTCCATCAACTGCCAATTGAGAACAAAAACTTTATGCCGATATTGTACTGAAGCTTTGTAGCGTTCATTCAGTTACAGCATTTGCATCTTCTTGATTATTTTGAAGATTAGTTTTCTAAGGATAATGTTTTCAGTGTTTAAGATCCCACAAACAAAAATCTGTCTATGGAAAAAGAGAGATATTTTGAATACTAAAGTCCTTTATTCAACAACACAGAAATATCACAAAAACAACTTTACTGGGCAAACTGAATGTTTTTATACAGTTTTGTACATGCCCCATAAGTGACTTTTTTTTAATAAATACACTGTTTTCCAAAACTGCTTTTTTTCATAATTGCACAAGCATACATACACCTTACACAAATATCTTTTAGAAAATTTAATAGATAACTGCACAGTTCAGAAATAGGAGAACACTGTGAAAGGAGTACATTTTTGTGGCCCATGTTTCTGAAAAATCTCCTAGTTCCCTGCATTTGTGAAAATGGAATACTTTCTAACATAGAAGCTGTCTTTTATTCACTAAGAATAGAGTAGATCTCAGTGTGAAACTGCCAAATTTAATAAAAACAAAAATCTGAAACATTTAGCTGCTACATGAGAACCAACTGTTTGATATCACTATGCATCTAACCATGATCAAAGACCCACTACAGCTTTTTGCTGAATATATTCGACCCTGAATTGTATGTTCATTTAACTACTTTCTTTCTTCATTATTTGATTACAGATATAGCCCGTTTAGAGACTTTATATTCTTTAACATTAATTGTATGACTTACATACCAGGGGTTCTGGACAAAAGGAAGTACTTCCTTTCTCTTAGGGAGTGTCTATTATTAAGTCACATAATGTGTACGTGTGCCTCTTTTACAGCCTTATTATTTAATAGGTTTATCTGGGGTATGATAAAAAGATTTTTTTCTATTAGGCATGCTTAGTGCTCACACCTAGAATACTTCAAAGTAATATTATGCGTTTTTTGCACTGTGAAAATGAAGAACACAAAAAGGGATAAAAAAATTCATATTGTAAAGTATTTTAGGATCTTGTGAAAAGCAAAAATTCAGTAATTAGAACTTGACAATAATCTAATTTATAAATATCTATGTACCACGTATAGGAGAGAGAAAGAGAGAGGCCAGAAAAGGGATTTCCTTCTTCAAACATCAAAAACCAAAATGCTCTCTATGCACTACATCATATAAATATTGTTTTACCAATATGGAAAAATTTGATGATATAAAGAAACAATGTCCAAAAAAAGACATATGTGGGAATCAAAGAAAATCAATCCTTGTTCATTTTTAATAATTAACAGGTTTGTTTGCTTTTCTTAACAATTTTGATTTGACGTAAAACACCACAATTACAATATACAGATCCATCAGTTCTTGAAAACAAAACAACAAAACAAAAAAAGAAACCACATCAAGACATGCAACATTAGGGTATTAGACAGTAAGTACATTGCTATGAATATCTTTGTACACCTAATGTAGCCTGAACTGAATTTTGTCTCTACTTCTGTCAGAGCAATCACAATTTTCCAAAAAGCAAGGCAAGCTCACCAGCCAGATGTGCAAATAAGGCTTCAGTCAGTTTTTAAATCAATTATCCATTTGGTAAAGAAGACCTTATGTAGCTCTCATTGGTCCAGCAGTAAATAACGGAGGCCTTAACCAGAAAGTCTTAAATGAAATAACATCAGGTACAAAGCTGCCAAGTAAATGAATGTAAAGCTTATTTTATGATTGTTTAATTAATGATCTTTTATAAAATATAAGAGGGGGCACATGTTGGGAGCACGTTAAAGATGGCATTTATTTTCTGAAATTACATGTAAGATGTCATGCTACACGGAACCCAGGACATGTGTGTCAGCCCTAACCTTTAGAATGCACGTGCAATCTCCTCCAGCTCAACACACCAGTCCTCTGATGCTCTTCAACTGTGTCCCAGCCCTTCTACTGACCCTTGCTGCTACACAGCCAATTCTAGGATGCTTCTCCTCCCATCCGCTGCCCTTAGGTTGCTTGACCATTGCCAGGGTTCGTCAGTCCTCAGACTTTCCCAGAACTCTGACTCTCCACAGACAGCTGATGACACACTCTGCTGCTCACCTAACCCCCCAATATTTGTCAAGCAAGTGAGTGTGGCCATGTGCCAACAGTATGAAACAATTAGCAGATAATGGAGAAAGTGCTGAAATACTATGCTATTGGTACACTCTCTGCATCATTAGCCTGTTATTTCCATGCTTTTCTGTGACGCTACTAGCATTTATCATCCTATCTTGTATAAAATACTAAACATATATAATATGTGGCGTAACAGCATTCTCTTACTTTCATGGGGTGGCCTTTTCACGTGAGTGAAAACAAAGCCAAGCTATAAATAGGTGATGAGGTAATCTGTATGAAGTGTACATAAACTCAGTATCCTCCATATCCTTGTATTACATCTGAATTATATAACTCCATGCTCTGCCTTTATGAGGAGTAAATGTTCTGTATACATAGCTAGTACAGGAGAAAGAATGGTGAGGCATTCTACTATAGGCCCAAGAGACCAGTGATTCAGCAAGCCCAAGATCAGTGGACAAAGAAAGATGTGTGGGGACAAATAGTCACTCATTGAAAAAATGTGGGGTTTTCTTATATACTTAAAAAATACCCAGGCTCTCATGGCCTGCACAACAGCAGGAGATATTCAAGCCTGTCTAAATTTATAAACTAGTCTAATCTCTAAATGTTGCACATGGAGCGAAAATATTTTCATATATTTTATAAAAAAATTATTCCGTCTATTGAAAAAACCTACATAGCAACTCTTAGTGGGAAGGTAAATACATTGAGTCATAGATTTTTCTCAGATATGGTACTCTTTTCATTTTGTATGCTAGAACATGCTATATATAAATGACTGATTCCGCATGTCCATCTATACTGTGCATTTCACCCTACAGCACAGTCAAAAGCAAGTCAGCTACGGTGTGTTACTTTGGAGGGATACCCTTCTGTAAAGCTCTTTCGGAAGCAATGCAAGTGCACAACCACTACTCTAAAATAGTGCTCAAAAAGATTAATCTTAGATTTTATGTCTTCCCCTCTTACAACAATACAACTGAAGGTAATTGCTAGATGCATCATAATCTTTTAATCTTGTAAAACTTGGCATCAAGTCTCTATGGAAGGATGCATGGTAAAATAGTGCTGCTGCTGCTGCTAAACAGTCAGCAAAATAATATTTAAAGCTAGAATTTATTGCTCCAGATTTAACTTGCAGAACCACACTGTTGTGTACAAACCGTTAATCTCCATAGATGCTCAGACATGATTGTCTCCTTGTGTCTAAACACACAAAATACAAGCTGCTATCTGTACAGTTTACAGTACTGAAACACATATATTTGAAAATGAAGTATAGATATGTTACTTTTCAAAGATACATGATTTTATAGCAGGGGTTTACCCAAACTTTTTTTTTTGTACAGCCACTTTAAAAATAGACAACAACTTCACTAGTATAGCTAAGTTACATCAAATAAAGATTCAGTGTACTGAATGTGAATAAACTGGCCAATTCCCCAGGCTCCCAGATTGTTTAAGTTTTGTTTTTGAGGAAACCCCTATACATAAATGAAAATAGTATCTGAGTATATTCTTCAATGGTGGACTAAGCAGTTTCTTAAAACAAGACTTTAGCTTGCCATTCACTTCGGACTGCCTTGAAAATAAGATATACTACTGCTTAAAAGAACCATCGGAATGCTTCAGCGCTGGGAACAGGTGTTCTCTATAAAAAAAAGCAAGAAAACAAGTTAAGCTTTCTTTCTGTGGCATTATAAAATAAGATTTCTTCTTGTTGTTTTTCCTTTACATTTCAGCCATATTTTTAGTTATCTAGATATAACATGATGCCTCACATAACTCAACAATTAATAGAAACGTCCTCCTTCTAAAAATGTGCCATTTCAGGATTTTATACATACATACACTATGTACTATCTATTTCCTCTTTAATTAAACAATAAAGTCATGGAAATGAAAACATAATTATAAACATCTAGGACATATAGCCAGGAAAATGGAGAGTAGTCATGGAATAGCCATACCATTTTGAAAAGGTTTCTGCCTATCCACTGACTTATTGGGTGTATGCTTATAGTTGGGTGGTTTTGCAGACACACACTTTGGCAAGACATTTTTTTTAATGCAAGAATAATAAAGACATTGATCTAATGATCACAATGTGCACTGTGAACTGATGCACCTGTGTTGATGTCTTGGGAGAATAGGGCAACATTTTCAACGTAGAGTTGGCCATCTCATTCCATATTTTGGCACTTAGGTTCAGATCCAGCAAAGCACTAGAGCTTGAACTTTAAGCATGTGAATGGTCCAACTGACTTCAACAAGAATAGTGACTTGCTTAATGTTGAGCACATGCATAAATGCTTTCCTGGATCTGGGCCTTAAATAAAAATGGCTTACTTTCCCCAGGTGCTGAGCACCCACAACTCCCACTGCAGGCAAGCTTTCAGTACTTCTGAAAATTGCACCACTCTCTTAAGTACCTTAATCAGCCCTTGGACACCCAGCTTTTGGCACCCAAGTTTGAACATACAAGGAAGGACTTAAACCATGATCTTGCAAGGTGCTGAGTGCTTTCTATGAGGTACTGAGTGCCCTCAATTCCCTCTGCATTCAATGTGGGTTGATGGTGCTCGCATCCCAAAAGATTGGACTATGGGGTCTATTTCTGCTCCTACTATAGCTAATGACTTTACACTGACTGCTGTGAGAGCAAGATCAGTCCCTTAAATCACTACATGCCAATTCACATCAGTTATCCCATCCTGCTGTATTTGGTTCATTAAGAAATATCCACATAAGCAAATATCGTATCTGAAGAAGTGTAACTAAAAAACCTAATACACGGTCTTAAGGAAATTGCAGATAAATATATTTGTGTTGAAATAGTTCTTGTGGATTATGTTGAAGCTTTAATTAAAGAATGCCACTGAAAAAAAGCAGTCTTTAAACTATATTTTTATGGCGGTCCTTTAAATGTTTCCATTCCAAAATACAGCTAATAAATCATACACCCAGAAATTTTTATGAATGCAGCACTAGATGCTCTGAGGCACCGCCAATCAGTTATATGAGTTAAGGCATCTTTTCAAAGTTCTACAAAACTAATAATTACCACGGCAAACATTTTATACCATAAAAGTAATCAGTTGTAATAACCAGGCTCAAACAGTATGCAGGTCCCCTTGCAGAAATACTTAAAATTAATCAGTTTAATAAATATAGCAAGGGGATGAAAAGGAAGCAGAGTTCCTCTTGTTTTATCTTTATCATTCATTCCCACAGGAATATCAGAGAAGAAAGAATTTCTGCTGTGTAATCAGAATTCTAAACTATTCAATATCCTACTTCTATCTATGAATGTTAAAGTTTAATAAATCATCTGAAAATTAGCTTCCAAAAACAAGTTTGGTTGTTGTATAAATATGCTCTGAATATTTGAGTGTTCTTTGTTAGTATGTGCTAAAATAAGTACTGATTATGTCCCCTTTAACAATTCCTATTCTATTCTGTCACACATGCTCAGTTCTAGGGTATGTACCTGTAATGACAAAAGCAAAGCAAAGCTTCCTTCAAAGGTATACCGAAGAGAGACGATATGCTTGCTAGACTATCCACAGAGTTCTGTGTAGGTTGTAAGATGGCTGCTGATAATATAATTTATAATTTATAAAGAAGTTGACTATAAAAGAAGCCTGAGTTTAGAACAATAGCAAGCAACCATATGTCTAAATCAACCTCAGAAGAATGGCTAATCACGGATAAGTATTACCTTTACATATTGTCTTTGAAAGCAACATTTAAATATTCCACTATGAATACTTTTTTATATATCTGGGGTTGAGCTGGCATTTATTTACTTTCTTGCAGCATCAAGTTGAGTTACTCTGTCAGACATTGTCGTATCAGCTGGAAGTAAAGGTGCAGTGTCTGATTAAAAGGTCAATCAGACCTTTAAATACATAGAATAATATTTCTGAAGGGCAAAGCTGCTGTTTAATATCTGTGCTTCTGAAAAACTACAAGATAAGGTCTTTTGCATCGGCAGAGGAAATTATAATTAAACATATATTATATAATTAAATATCTATTGCACTAGCCACTGACTGGGGAATCAGCTGTGACTATTTTCAATCATTAAACCACACAAAAACAAAAAAAATGAGGATTGAATAGATGGATCAAATTAGCTCAAACCCAATTTATGGGATGAAATGTTTTGATTTTTACCCTCACAACAGACAAGACTATAGCCAGGAGAAAAGAGATCTTTCAGCCAGTTTGGTGGCTCAGCACACCAATCCATAAGCTTAAGTGCAATGACCATCTACCTTCTGGTTATATAAATTCAAGAGTCCCAGCTGGGGAATCAAACTCTTGATGAGATTACAGTGAGTTTCTGAATCTCGGTTATGCTTGCAGGGAATCATTATCCTGAGTGACAGGAAAAACAGATTCCCCTGGAAGTTAGGGGGAGGGGGAAGTAAGGAATAGAATTGGAGTTGATCAGCATTGTTTAAGGCAGCCTTCACTGCTCATGCAGGTGCAAATACTGACAAACAGCAGCCTCGTTCCCAAGAGGGAACTCAAAAACCTGCAGCCCCAGCTTCTCCTAACAGGTAATGCTATAAAGCATGGTGTTCCAGATAATTTATCTCTAAACAAACCTGATATGAAATGACCTTCAAGCTTAAAACTTTCTATTCTGTTTCTCTTTGGGTCAGCTTTAACTAACAAAAGTATTTTCTACATATGTAAAAGAAGTAGCTCAAACATTTGAAATATTATATTTTAATTGCATTTTTAAAGTCAGCTTCACACAAACAGCCTAGAGAATTACATTTTTGGCTTTAAGATAAGAGAAACACAATCAAATCCCTTTAAATAAACACACACCAAAAATAACATTTTAAAAATTATATATATTGGGCCTGTATCTGTTCACATGGGCAAAAATGCCCATTAACTTTAGTGGGACCAGGTCCTTTATACAAATACACACATACACACGCTTCCAATACAGCAAAACAGCAAAATATACTGAAATTACAGACTCTTTAAATTCTTCACCACAGACTCTATTTTAACTTGAACTCAGCTACTTTTTTGGTGCAAGAATTCAGACGTTTTAAAAATGTATTCTGTATACACTGTTGCTGTGAGTGTAGCTCTAATACAGTGTTGCGATACAAGTCTTTGCAGATGCTAGATTACATATTTCTATTATTATTTTATAGAGAGCATTAGGGAAACAATTTTGTAGCAGCATATGGAAATTTTAAAAAAGAAATGTATTTGAGAAGGATACATAGTTATGACCTGAGTATTTGTAAATTTTAAAGGAAAACCCTTTAAGCACAGTAGCAAATTCAAATCTTGGCTTTTACACACACCCAGATACTTGCAGGCCAGATTCTGAACCCCTTATTCATGCTGAATAGTATATACTGACATGACTAGTACCACTGAAGTAAACACGCCAGGCCATGAGAGGCCCTTATAGGGTGCACAGAGTTTGGGGTGCACACAAGAAGCTGTTTCCCTCACTGGCATGGCCTGTGCAAAGGCCTATCACAATTACAGTCCCTGAACTTGGACGAGTGCATGGACTATTCCCTTAATATGCCCCAAAGACACAGGTATCATAAATGGAACATGGAGGCCCTTGGGTCCTCTCCTGACCCCAAACCAACCTGTGCAGTGGGCCAACCTGCATAGAAAAAAAGCAGGCTGGACCATTCTGCACAATGCCCTGTGTACTGGGGAGCTTGGGAAAGGAGTGGCTCTCTGTGAGGGACATTCCCTCCCTGAAATCCCCAAGTCACAGGTCCAGTTCTGTACTTGGGCCATTGGAAAAATGGCACAATTTGGCCCAGTGAGACTTATGTCATTACTACCAGACATTAGCACAAGCTGGAGAGTCTGGTGCCATGTGATGTGTGACTGGAGGGATAAGGAGAAGCTAGTCTTCAAGGCCAAGGATAGATGCTCACAATTCCTGCATGTAATGCATTTTGCATCCATTACCAGCCCAAGATCTGGGGCTGGCTACCAGTTACTATTGCCTAAGTAACTAGCTGAGTAGGTTTCTTATGTATATGAATAACACAGCATTAGTTAGTTAAAGGACTACTAAACTCTACAAAATCCACAAAGCAGCCAGAAAACAGCAGAACATTGGAGGAGGCCAGGAAGCTCTATCCAGGCATGTGGTGTCCCCCTTGCCCATTCCACTAAGCCAGACCTATTACCTGCAGTGCTGTGAGCTGATGGAAGCTTCATTTTACCTGAGGTTCCTCTTTGAAGGCTAATAAAAGATGGCTGCTACTCATGTGTCCAGGAATGGGTGTAAGTCTATATCCTCCAAAACACACCCACTCCTCTCCCACCAGACTAGCCCTCCTCCCCCTGCTACTCTCCTTGGAGCAGGTCTTAGAAGAGTAGGGACAAGGTAGGTATGAATACATGGAGTGTATTCTCCATCACAGAAAGCCAGAATAAGTTACCTTTGTGCAGGAAACTATGCAAGGATTGGGAAGAAGAAATCCTTTCCCAGCCCACAGTGAGGGTGTAGGGCAGCTGTATAAGGCCATTACCCTTGTGCTGCTTTCTGCAGGGATTTGGTTCACACCCTCGTAACCTATACACCTCAATGTCCCCTTCAAAGTGACTAGGTGAAGCTGACAGAGTTAAGCTGTGCTG